ATGGTTTGATCATCTCTACAAGCATATTAATATATTATTCTACCATTACATTATATTTGTATGTGTGCATTTATATATGTTTGTCTGTGTATTTAGGTGCACATCTATGCAAATATATGTTGAGATCACAGGTTAAACTTGGGTCTAATTCTTCAGCTATTGTCTAGATTATTTTTGAGACAGGGTCATTTAATGCCCTAGCCTACAACTCACTATGTAGACTGGGCTGGCCAGGCACTGGGTCCTAGAGTTTGCTTCTCCCTGGCTCCCCAGCACTAGGCTTATGGGTATCTCCTAGCATATTCTCTTTTTATGTATGTTCTGAGGGTCAGACTCAGGACTTGTATTTACAAACGACGAACTTCCCCAACTGTTCCTGCCACCAGCCCTCCAGATTAACATTTTCCCCAAATTTGAACTACAAAGTTCTAATGCCTAGTGTATATTCAAAAGGTTTCTTGGTGTTTCCTGCTGTTTTCAGTCTGTGCCAATGAACCCTGCCCACATAATGCATTTTTATCACAGGCTTATTACATAAACAGAAGATACCACAAGCAAATGAAGAAAATTCACAGATTTTATTTTTCCATATTTACACTAAAGTGTTTTGAGTTCTACAAAGCATTTTGCATATGTAATCTAGTTGGATTAAAGTGCAATCCTTTGCATTCAAGTTAATCCTTGTTACAAATTAGCCAAATGTCCTTCATATAATATTAAAGAGTTTTATCACTATAAAATTTGAAAAAAAGTAGGTAGCATCAGAACAAAATTTCACATTCTGGGTTTAACAATATTTGTTCTTTATCTGAATTTACTATAAAATATATAGAATTGAGATCTCTTTTATTAAAAAAAATTATGTTGTATGGGACTGGGGAGATGTTGTTGTCGGTAAGAGTGTGCTACTTTTAAGGAAGATCTTGGTTTGATTTCTTCAATTCCTTCACAGCACTGCCATTGGTCAGCACACAACCTCTTATAACTCCAGCACGAGGGGAAGCCTTCACCCTCTTCTCATCTATCCTTTTCAGATTGCATGTCTCGGTATAATTTTCAATTCTTTATCTTAGCACTAATGTTAATTTTTAGTTTATTCCTTCATCTATTTTAGGCCAGTAACACTTGTACTGAATACTTTGGCTTATGATAGATATTTACTAAGACAACCAAGAAGAGTTCTTATTTTTATAAAAAATATTATTCACTTCTAAATGGAAAGATGATATACTTTAGAATATTTTCAGCACCCCCTTTTCCACAATAGAAATAGTTTTCATGCAAACTCCCTTTCTTTAGCTTGTGGGGTAGTTTAGTAATAATAAAAAAGACATTACAGAGAAACATGGGAGCACACACACACACACACACACACACACACACACACACACACACACAGGAAAGAAGGTGTAATTCAAACCCAAAGGGAATGGTTATGAAAATAACAACTGCGTTAGATTTTATTAACAGGAAAGAAAACATTGTAAAAGTAGAGGAACATTATTTTTTTTCAAACACCACTGTTCCTTAGGATATCCTGCTAAATTGTTATGTGTGATAAGATTAAAGAGGAAAGAGGCTTGTCTTTTAGACATCAATCTTCCGGATGGTCTCTTAGTGAAAACTGACAAAGTGTGAGTAGAATCCTGAGTTCAGGTGACTCTGAAAAATAATACAACATTTTCATCTTTTATTGTATAATTGAAATGTTTTCCTTTTCCACCTGTACTTTAAGTTTCTATTATCTTGATTAAATAATGGCAAAATTGTCAGCATATTTACTGTGTGATTATTCAGAGTTCAGTCAGTCATTTTTTCTGGGTATTAAGATGAAATTACTTGTTAAAGTGTAGCCTGTGCCATTCCATTTTATTTCAGGAATTTCTACAGTTCATTGTGACTAAATTTAAATAGACTAATGCGTAAAGTTAATAACTTCTTTTTAGAATTGAAATATAACAACTTAATAGGTAACTAGCATGCTGGTTTCATCTAGCATGTGTTCAGTACCAGTATTACCTAACTGTGCCTGCAATATTCTGGTACCTGATATTGGTCACATCACCTTTTTTTTTTTTTTTTTTTTTTTTTTTACAAATATTTCTCTGCCTTTTTTCTCATGAGAACATATGCCACCACACTACAGTCTCATTTTGCACAGGAATAACATCAAGTTAAGTTTGTGAGACACAGCTCTAACAAAACCCTTTTCCAAGTAAAATAACATTATAAGTATGCCTTGATGATAACCATTTGAGTCAATATAGGAACAAAAGTGAGTTCCTTGCAGAACTCCTGCAATTTCTGTTCATTTTCAATCAATTATAGTCAGATACTAAAACCTGTTGTCAAATGGCACAATCTGAAAATCTCCAAATCTGACCAGACGATTTGTCTTTTAAGCACAATATTTAAACCACTTTGCTGGTTTATCAAGTGGAAATCAGATCTATGAAGGTGTGCTGCCTCTTCCTTCACACTTTGAAGTCAGTGGAGATTGTGTGGTTCCCAGTCTCTGGCCTCAAACTTTTGCTTTAACCTTCCACAAATATTTCAGATATCAAGGTCACTTTATTTAAAAGGGGATAGGGATTAAGCCTTACTTTACAACCCATGCCTGAGAAAATACATTAGACTTTTATGATATAGATTGTTGTGAGCTGACAGTGTCTTCTGAGATATTAGCACATTGAGGCCAAAATGTGTCTTTTTGGTTTATTTGATCTTTGAGCCTTTTTTTTTTCTTAAAAAAAAAAGTGGGGTGTATTTAACATTTTCTTAAAAAGTTCCTTTTCTTTTAAGTTGTTCTGCCCAAAATTTATAAGAAATGATTGACTATAGTAATTTAAGATACTAGATGCAATCAGAGAAACAATATGTATGCACCCACATGCTTGCACTTATACACAGAAGAGTGTTAATCGTTGACTGGGATGAGCAATGGAGCAATGAGCAATGAAATAACAATAGGAGGTAAAGTGATTTACCAACTCTAAAAATGAGATATTTATCACCTGGAATTGGTCACTCCAGTCTGTACCAGTTTCATAATGCTTTTACCCTGGAACTTTTCTTCCCACCTCTATTATCTTGTGCATTGTTTCAATAATTAACAGTGCATGAATATAGGCATGATGGTGATTTAATCTCAACTGTCAAGCATAGTCAACCATAAATGCACTGAAGTTAAAGCAAATAATTATTTAGTGATAGAAGATATGATCAAATGTGTGTTCAAATGCATTTGGTTCTCATATTTTCGCATAGTCTTCCAAAATTATGAAGTAATAGATGTTAAGGTGAATGCTTCCTCAGACGGTCATCAGGCTCTATTCCTTTCTTCAAAAGACAAGCAATTATTATCTCCATGATCTATTAAGGCACATTTTCTTTACCATGTGACAGCTAAGGTGAAACAGATCAAAAAATATTGCTCTCCTTTCTTAAACAATGACACGTGCACATAGATGTTTAACAAGTGCCTTTTCAAAGCTATTATGAGAAAACACTAGCAGCCTTGGTCTCTAGAAGTAATTTATGACAGCTTGGTATATGGTATCCAAAATTTCCTTGCACATATTAGCCATGCTGCATCTCTACCCAAGCCCCGAAGCCTTTCTCTACCCCACATGAAAGCTGTGACAAAATATAGCATTATGAGTCCAGGCTGAGTGAGTTGCTTACTGTTTCTTCTTCTAGTACATATTGCTTGAGATGATGTGACTTTGTTTTAACAGAGGCAGTGGAAGGAAAAATTGCATAAGAGTGAGTGAGGGTGACAAGAGAGTAGTGAATAAGGTATCTTGTGTGCCTTATATCTCTCCCCACTTTGTCTTCCCATTTTGTTTCTTGACTAAAGAATGTGGAAGGATAAGGGATATGATTTAGCATGTTCTGACATTAGTGAAAACAACACTGTAAAATAAAAAAAATAGTGGAATCAAATTGTGAGCAAAAATCAAGTAGGCTGAAAATTTTAGCAACTTGTAGAATTTAGAAATACTATAAGAAGTAATCAAATACATGGTGCTGATGAATTTTACTGAGGTGAGATATGAAAATATTTACAGAATAAAGATTACGAGCCTAAGCTACATTTTTTATCTGTTATTAAATGTTTGCATTTCATTGGAAAGTACATAGAATGTTTAAATAGGAATGAATACGAAGAATTTTTTTTTTACAATGAAAGGAAAGTGTACTTTTGTTTGGATGTTACTTTAAGTGGCTTAACTGTTGAAAATGTAGAATCAATGAAATAAATAAAATTACCTAAAAGGGTTAATATGATTTCCATAATGCTGTGATGGAAGTTGCATTTTTATTATTTTTTAAAGCTTCTTTTTATGTGTGAAAGCTTTAGATGTTTAATTACTTAAAATTAGATTTTTTTTAGGTAATGAGAGTGATTATTTTAATTGTAACTTAGAAACAATGTTTTTGGATTCTAGTCTTCCCCTTTAGTTGTTAATAAAAAGAAAGAAGGAAAAGAAAAAAGCGGTTTCACTTGTCGGTTCTTCGTTAAGCATATTAAGACTACATTTGAACAAACCATCAAAGTAAAGGAAGGGTTAATTGGGAAAGAAACACCCTGACATAGAGTACATTTCTCTTATATAAAGCTTTAGAAATACTCTATTGTCAATCCAAACAGAACAAACTAAAATGAGATAATTGGGAAGGTGCTCATAAAGTCAGCTTGAATATATTATCACAAGTATATATGAGATAATATTTGTTTTAAAAAGATTCTATGGCACTGTAAACTCAGTCTCATTAGAGACTGCATTTAAAAGGCTTATAAAGTTACTCATTAATGTTATCTTGTTGTATCTCCACAGCTTTTTCATTAAAGAAAATTCAGCAGAAAGCATTTTCTCCTGATAGCAGGAACCAATTTGCAATAAATGTTCTGGAAACCACTAGGGAAGCCATTACTGAGGTCTAATAAAAACAGACAAGCGTAACTTGTTCTATATTTTTGTTTCAATCACATACAGATGAGACCCCGCTTTCTACACCAACAGCAAGAGACAGCATCGACAAACTTTCTCTAACTGGGCATGGACAACCACTACCTCCAGGCTTCCCGTCTCCCTTCCTGTTTCCTGATGGCTTATCTTCCATAGAGACCCTTCTCACTAACATACAGGTACTTCTCTTTTCTGTAGGAAAGGAACATATGGAACACACACAAAATTGTTTTTCTAAAATACAACCTATTTCAAATATTTATCTCATGATATTGGCTGATCCACAGTGCTAAACATGTCTCCAGAAAATTAAATGATAACTTTTCCACACTCACCAAATTGTTGTAGAAATACTCAACAGATAATTTATATTGCACCATAATAAAAATAAACCAACATGATGTGAGCATTTATCAAAAGCATTTCCCCCTCAATGTTCTCTTTATTGCCAAATAATGGGACCAATTTAAGTGTGTAAATTTGTCTGGTTTAACAATGACAGCATACAAGTTCTAATAAATATTTAGATATTTTTAAACTTTTGTCCTCCCAGTGAGGAAACGATATGTTTAGTCATTTTAAATATGCCTAATAAAGAGGAATCCAAGAGAATCTCTTCTTTCATAAATTTCTTGTAGCTAGTAGGGACACTTCAAAGAATAGACTTCAAAAAGCCATAGAAAATTTTCCACGGATTTCCTATGTGGCCCTCAGGATGTATATTTTATGTACAGTATATTATGAATCAAAAATACTTAGTTAAGAATAACATTGTTTAGGGAGCCAAGACAATAAAAGTGTTTGGGATACAAGAAAGCATAGTTTTCTAGCCACGCATAAAGGAATCATGTGGGTCCCAGATGGAACTTCTCCCTCTACTTCTTTATCTCAGAAGGAGCTAGAAGGAGACACAAGATAAAGATGCTGTTAGCCCAGCACTCCATCCTCAGTTATATTTTTCTAAACACATTTCCTACCATATTAAACTTTGCCCCAATAGAAATGTAATTAATTTTATTTACCTCTCCAAGGATATAACAGAGGGCCTTTAATGTAATGTATCTTCTCATCTATTAATATGACATTTTTAATACAAATGTAATTAGAATTGCTCGAACCGTATTCAACATTAAGGTTTTATATTTTAGTAATTGAAATCAGTCATCAGTCCAGCCTCATTTCAATCATGGCAAAATTACTGATTATATCCAAAAGTAAACATAAGAGATTTTCCCCAAAATTTTACCCATATTACAAGGTACAGGTCATAGTGAATTTCTCTCTTGTTAAGAAAAATGCTTTCTGAAATGTATAGGAATAGCAAAACTAGTTCGAGTATGGACATTAAGAGTCTATCAGATTCTGAGACCTAACTGGGATATCTGTATCATATCTCTTCCCATCAATTCTGAGGGACCATTGTGGAAAAGGTGTCTACGGGTGGTAAACACCAGGGGCAGTGGATGCTTGTCAGGGAACAGTGTTTTCAGGACACAGTAGTGAAATTGCACATATGAACTCACAGTCGACTAGACAATATTTTCCTGCTCAAGGCAAACAAAAATCTCAGCATAGAAAGGGAAGTGGGTATAGTCTTATTCCTCATTGGAGAACTACATGAAGTTAGTAGCTGCTGGAAGAAAAGGTACAGTCTTGTGATGTTGACAATGTCCTAATGAAGAACACATATCCAAGAGTATATAAGCAGCTTGGATTGTGTGTGTGTGTGTGTGTGTGTGTGTGTGTGTGTGTGTGTGAGAGAGAGAGAGAGAGAGAGAGAGAGAGAGAGAGAGAGAGAGAGAGGGAGAGAGGGAGAGACAGAGACACAGAGAGGGAGAGAGACAGAGAAGAAGAAGAAGAAGGAGGAGGAGGAGGAGGAGGAGGAGGAGGAGAAGGAGAAGGAGAAGGAGAAGGAGAAGGAGAAGGAGAGACAGAGACATAGAGACACAGACAGGGAAACAGAAAAACAGAGAAAGACACACACACACACAGAGGAGCGACAAAGTTGGGTGTGCAGGTAAGGGATAGATCTGGGAAGAGTGAGGGTAGGGAGTGGATATGATTAAAATACATACAAAATTCTCAAGGAACTAATAAAAATAAGAAAAATAGGAGAACAGTTCATTACCTTCTATGCAAAACTCCATATGAAACTATCTTAAAACACTATAATCACATTAATGATAATTTGATTTAAATTTCCACATTAAAATATTCTAGATTTCTTTTTTACTGAAAATCAGTTCACTCATCAGAGGAATGGTTTCACAACAGACCTGAGAACTGTGTTGACATTCACAACTTAAATACTGACAATTGGGGAGAATTCATTCATCCATTCTATGCTTAGACTAGGCATGATATTTCCATGATTTCACATTAAGTATTTTTTCAAAAAGAAATAGAAAATAAAAGTCCATATTTTAGAAAATTAAATGTTTATTTAACATATTCTATATCTGGTCTCTTTCTCAAACATATGCATCGAGGGCATGTCTTAGAAGAATTAACAGTAGGCTCATAAGCAAAACAAGTTAAGTTATTGAATTTTAGGTTTATTGATTGGGATCTGGGCCTAAAATACCTATATCATAAAAATATTCTTCATTACATATTATACTTGTTTACATGAATCTTATACATATGCATGTATTTGTAGACACAAGTGTTATAATACCTATGAATATTTAGTATATCCTTAGGGACATAAGCATGAATACTATGTATATAAAAAAATAAAGCTAAGATTAAAAAAATCACTAAGTTAGAGATACACATATGTAAACACATACTGATAATCATATACAAACTGCATTTTTGATGACTTCACATTAGTTTGTAAAACACTGTAGATGCTAAATCTTATTATTTCTACATTTATTTAGTTATGGCTTTATCTAAGGAATCACAAAGAATGCTTAAACAATCATGATTCAGGCTTATTAGGCATAGAATCTGAATGTGTTTTCTGTCTAAATTTTAATTTGGGTCATTACAATCTGTCTACCTCAATTTCATCTGCAATTTCCAGTATGTATAATTGGGTTACCTGCTTTTGTGTTAAACTATTGCATACTCATGCAGTCAGTTTAAATTTCTATAGTTACCTTGAAAATAATTTGTTACTATTAGGACTAATTTCCCCAAATCTTTCAAAATATTTTTAAAAGATTATTGTTTTAAATGCAAATAATTTCACAATATAGTATTGATAATTTTTAGTAATTAGGCTTGTGGTGAATACTACAGATGTCTTCTCTATAATACCATTTTCAAAATTGATTTTCATAATTACTATCATAAAAGCTTTGGAAAATACCATATTTTTGTCTAAAAATTAAAACACTAGTTTAAAAATAGTTTTATTAATGCTTTGAGGATGTCATACCTTGAGGAGTTAGTGAGTTCCCTTCATGACACATGAGTATTCTATAAATTAAAAGTGGTAATGATAATAGCCAGAATAAATAACAGTAATTGATTTTTAGTGGGTGATGAAATTTCATTCCTTTTTTGTTGTTGTTGTTCTTAGAACTCAGAAGTATTTCACCATAGCCCCCCTCTTAGAACTGACAGCATCATTACTTGTTTGCATATTTGTACCCTAAAGCCAGATAAATATTGTGAAAGAGCAAATTCACTGTAAAATGAATAGAAATGAGTTCAATGAGACAACTCTGTGGATAGGGGCATTTGGGGCTTATGAGTGGTAGAGTAAGGGTAAGTTAATAAGTAGAAGTTGAAACATATAAAAGGATGATGACAGTAAACTCACAGGCAGATCTCTGGGATCAAGGCCATCCTGGTCTATACAGTGAGTTCCAGGACATCCAGGGCTACACAAAGTAAGCAGATGACTGCCTATATCTGAAGAGAGGCTGTGAAGGAGGAGTGGATAGGGTATGTGGTGCTAAAAAGAAGGGAGAGAGGAGAAGTTTTGGTTATGATGGATGTAAAAGCAGGAAAGCAAATTTTAAACAAGAAGCTACACAAGCACATGAAGCATATGGATGGTCAGACTCACTTATCATAAAAGAAAAAGAAAGGTTAATCATGCTTGAAACTATCATCAACGATGCTTACAATAAGTTATGTGAGAGAAGGCAGGTTCATTGTGGTTTGTGTGCAAAGTGAGATTAAGAAAGTAGCGTTGTTTCAGGAGTAGAGAGTTCTGCATACTTACAACGTTCAGGGCCTTTTTTTCCTTTTGTTCCTACATAAGTTTGTAAAACACTAATATGAATAATACTAAAATATACCTAGGATTCTAAACACAGTTAACTGTGATGTTAACAGTAATTTTAGTTTCAAATCCTGGAATATATCTGCTATTTGCTAAATATTATTTCTGGTAGCAATAATAGTACAATTGATAGTACTTAGGAAACAAACTTCCAAAATGTGGGTTATGGAAATTGAACTCAATATATCCGGCTTGATTGACAGTGCCCATACCCACTATGCTGTTTCATCAGACCCAGTTCTAGTCATTTTATAGTGAATCCTTAGAACCTCGCCATATGTTGGCTTTGCATCTAAGACTATTGAGGCAGATACCATAACTAGTGACTTCAGAGTCCTGGATGACTTGTTATCAGCACACACAACTTATAAAGTTGGCTGATACACAGAAAGATGTTTCACAGAAAGTATGTCATTCATCAGTTTTGGGAACTCTGTAATTACTGAGTACAATTTTAAAAATACTTCTGTCATAGTTCATCACTCGATACCAACGTTTCTTTTTTTCTTTTTGTCTATAAAAGTCTGGATTTCAAGGGAGACAATTCCTTCTTATTCTTCAAAGAGAAAATTACCAAATAGGGATTTTATTTTTGTAATTAAGTAGCTGAAGGTCTGACCTAGGCTAAAGTCTTGGGTAAGCCTCTGATGCCTGAGCCTTCTGGAGCTTTCTTTTAAGTTTCAATATTTTGAAACCCTGCTAGACTGCTACACTCATGTAGAAACGTCTGTCTCTGCAAATTTATGAGGAGGTCTACACTCTAAAACATAAAAATTATTTTAGCTGTTAAGAATTTTTGCGTATATTGAAGACAAATCTGTGCATAAAAAGCCTTTGTCTTTTAATGTTGCTGTGTTCAGAATAGACATCAACTGTATTTCTTCAGAGCCACTACCCAACTTCAGTGTTATGAGAACTTAAATCCACCTCCAGGAAAAACTATCATAACTGAAATCTTTGCCTCTTAACTACAATACGAAATGTTGTCATCACACTGTGCAGATATGGCCCTTCCAAATGATACCACACAGTTACTGTGATCTTTTGCGTACCACATACCTGGATCATTAACAGAAGTTACACAAATATGAGAATATTGTGACTGATAGTTAAAAGTTGTCTTACTGACTTGCAGAAGCTGTGAACTTTTGTAGCTGTTGCCCTTTTTCCTGCCTCTTGCTGTAGTAAATTTGAATGGTCATCATGTGTTTATTTTATTTATTATTGCACAGACTTGCCATTGTACTGATGTCCATTTATTTAAAGTCTAAATTTTAAGTTTAATTTTATATAGATTATACATAGTTTCCAGAGGCATAGGATCTTAAAAGCTAATATTTTCCAGACTTAATCAGCAGAGTATGTAATATAACATCATTAGCAACATTACCAATAACTGTAACAAAAGGAGAGAGTAAATGTAAATTCTTCCAGCAATTTCATCTTTTGCAAACTGATGGTAATAACAAAATGACAGTTTGGAGTCAGATCTTAACATTATTCAACATGTTTATTCATAATTATTACTCTATATTTAAGAACTCCAAAATATTATGTTTTGTCACCCAAGGACAATAATAGTTTAATAGTAATTTATTTTAAACAGCCACTAATAAAACAACCAATCAACACATTAAGTGGTGCCAACATTGGCATCTTGCTAAATAATCTCTAGGCATTGCACAGAGAGTACATCTTTCAAAGATAAGTCAACAAGAGCAGTCAGAGCAGAAAATTAGAATTTGGTATCTTAGAATTAAAATACAGCTAAACTAAAGTTTTAATTGGGGTGATCTGAAAGGGCACTTCATGTAATGATCTCTTTCATTTGTTACTAATTGTTTGTTCCTGATGTAGAAGAAACATATAGAGGAATGTTGCTGAATTCAGTTAAGATGGCAGTTTCCTTAGAAGCTGTGTTTATGTCTAAACAATAAAGGAGTGGGGACGAGAGAGCTGCCACACAGAAATCCTACTTTTACTTGTTTTCTTTCACAGAAATGTGGCAGAAAATTCTGGGTCAGACATAAACACAGAAAATAATTTTTATATATAATTAAAATGTCCTATGACAGTGTTAGAAGTTACCCTCTTATGCACAGACAGACTACCTCTTGATTGTACTTCAAATCAAGCTGGAGTTGGAATTTCTGATTCAAAGTACATGCACTGACTCTTTACAAGGCTCTCATCCATGATATCTTCTAGCAATGGCATTGAATTCCTATATAATTCCAATGGCAAATTTCAGATTGGCACATTAACAGACTATGACAAAATACTTTACACTTCAAATATCACATTTGTGTGGGGCTAAATTCATGCTAGTAGAATTTTTAACTTCAATATTTACTGATAAATTTGATCATAAATATCTGTCAAAGCACATGGGACATTTTTTGTATGCACACTATGCACTCACATTTCATTTTTAAAATCTGAAGGAACTTTTAAATTCATGAAAACTATACATGAATAGATGACACATATTCCTACAATCATCTATAAGGATAAGCAAGTTTTGTTTTCTCTCAAGCCTCTTTAAGTTCCTAGCCTGTGAAATGGTTTCTTAAGTATTATTTACAGATTATTACAGTCTTTTGAAGGACATCATAAAGAAAATTGAGTGCTAATATGTTCTTCTAGATGCTTTAAATAAGCTATATATCTCAAAAATATACCATAGTGATAATCTTAATTTGTCAATATTTTACTGTTTTAAAATGCCAGGCATGGTTCTGTATTTGGAGACAGAATGCTAAATAACAACTATCCCTTACTTTGTCTAAAAACTTGCTTTACAGTGGAAGAGGGGTGCTAAAAGCTAGTGAATGTGATAATATCTAATAATACTGCTTAATAATGAAAGCAATGATGAGGCTTAAGGAAGGCTAACAGTATCTACTTGAAGGGATATTTCTGATTGGGTGATTAGAGAAATACTCTCCTGAATGGTGGCTTTGGACAAATATGAAGTCAACTGAGGTAGGGAGACATGCAAAGATGGAGATGGGAAGATCAAACTTCCTTCAGCACACATAGATAGTTGAATTAAGGAACACACAGAAGACAGGTGTAGAGAGAGTAACCTTGCAAGAGGATGGATGAGTGAGCTGGAAGACAGTGACAATTTACCAGTATCATATAGACCATGTTGGACAGTTCCACGTAGAACTGCTTTTGTCCATTTGTATTTCATAGGATTCTTTTGTATGACTATCATGAAAATTTTTATCTAAATAGTCTAATTAGAAGCAATGGATCGTACATAGTTTGACCAGATGTAGAAGTTTTGTGCTTTAGTTGTATCATTTCTGAGTCCTGGATGAATTCACAAGAATTAAAGAATTTGATAAGTGGGCTCTTCTCATTGAAAATACATCGAAGTAATGAACAAAATGAGTTTTGTACCAAAGTATGTTCATGCTGAATGCCTTCTTTGTACAGGGCCTTTTGAAGGTTGCCATAGATAATGCCAGAGCTCAAGAAAAACAAGTCCAACTGGAAAAAACAGAGCTGAAGATGGATTTTTTAAGGGAAAGAGAACTAAGAGAAACACTCGAGAAGCAGCTGGCTATGGAACAAAAGAACAGAGGTATCTGTGAAACTCCACAGTAGTCTAATATTTAAGTGAAATGGGCAACAAAATAATATTGTTCTCCATTGGTGATTTACTTTAATTTTTGCTACCTTGCCTGTAACTGAACTTAGAATGGCACTTGGATCATGAGTTTATTGTATTTCTGAATGTTTAATGTGAACATTCTCTTCTCTTTTCTACCTCTAGGGATTAGATAGATCTGTCATAGCATTGGCCATATAATTTTCATTGCTTATAGAATTTAATGAATTCATATTCTTTAAGATAAGAATGAGCTCTGATTAGATGATAGCCATGATGAAGAATGTCGTGTTCACTCACAATTGCCCTTTGAAAACCTCAGGAGTTAAAGTTATAATGCTAAAATAGAAAAGACTCATTATTCAAGCAAAGCAGGTTTGGTAAGATATTTATCAACTGAAATGGAAGCTTGATGAATATCTGAGCAAATAACCGAAGTTAAGTGTTTGTATAATTTTCCTTCTGAATGCTTCATGTTCCTTCAACAAGGTCAAGTCCATAAAGTACTTACCAAAATGAATTCTTATTGGATCAAAATAATGGTATTATTGATCTGCAAATTGCTTCTTTTAAAATATTATACTGGTCATCGATAGATGATTTTGAAGGTCACTCATATTTGTATATTTATTTTGTGCATGAATTTGAAGACATCAACCAATATCTCCTTTGCTTCAGCTACAAGATTCCACAAGAACTGTAAAAAAAGGGGAGGAATTCCATTTCTTTAATTTTATAAGTATCCCATATAAATTCTTCAGCTTCCCTGTATTCATGTTTGATGTGTTCATTTAAAGATGATTGCCTCTGTTTTAGGATTTTTACAGATTGTTTCATTAGAAATTATGAATCAGTATCTAGTGAATTTCTGGATTCAGTTTTATTTGAGACACTGTCACACAGCATATAGCACGGTTTTACATGACTTTGCATAGGTACAGACCTAAAATAATTCAAACATGGTAAACATGATGACAGGTGTTCTTGAAATGAGTAAGGAAGCTGGAGAATGAGTTGAATGTGTGGAACCACCTTTTATGAAATCGCCATGTTTCTATTTTGTTCTGGTCTAAGAAGACTCATATACAATCTCTTCATAATGGTAGCACGGGGATTTTTTATTTTTAAAATTTATCTAGTAAATATATTAATATTACAAAATATATATGTGAAATGAGACACATATTTAATAACATACTACATAATATTTCTTCTTCCAACAGGAGTTTTTCAAAGTAGTTCAGTTAGGGAACAAGACAATAATGACTCAGTGATACTATCCTCTGTTTTATCAGATTTCCATGCCTTACATTCTTTTCATCCCAATGTTGAGATTTTATGCAAATTTATGGGTTGACTTCAGTATACTTTTCAAACATTAATTAATTATATATTGTGATCCTCCCCCAAAAAAGGAGATTCATATAAAAACAAAGATCTTAGGATTTCTGTAATCACCTGTGGAGTCTTGTGAGTGTAATTACTAGGTTTCCCTTCGGTTTCATTCCTTTAACCACTAGAGAGCAAAACATCAGCACATCTCACCCTTAACCTCCCACTGAACTAACTTCCAACAGGAAGTTCAAAGTAATAATTATCCATACGTATCTACTAAGAAGCATCTACTCTAGAAGTATATTGACCTGCAGACAACGGGTTCATTATGAATTCCTGCAATCATATAGGAGGAAATTTAGTGGGCAAGGCTGCGTGCTCTGTATCCAGGTATTAATATTATGGTCAGGCGCAATTTATAAACATATTTTAAAACTACCATATATTTTCATAGATAAATATTAAATAATATTTGGAAAGAAAAATATAAAACCATGTTAGAATATAATCAAATCACTTTACTCCTAAATCAAGAAAATTAACATTAATTTGAAATAAGTGTCAATAATCTCTCACATAAGAATGTAGTTGTCAGGTGGTGGTGGTGCACACCTTTAATCCCAACACTCAGGGGCAGAGGCAGGTGGATCTCTGTGAGTTCGAGACCAGCCTGGTCTGTGAAGTGAGTTCCAGGACAGGCTCCAATGCTACACAGAGAAACCCTGTCTCACAAAAACACAAAACAAACAAAAACCAAGATAAGTAAATGAATAAATAAACTCAACCAGTTAATGGGCTGTCACCTAAGTGGAACTAGTGATGATACAAGGGACATGTGAGGATTAGAAACTTAAATGTAATACTTACTAGAACATTTTTCTAAGTTTATATTTTGATTAAATATGGAAATTAAGCAAAAGCATTGTTCTTTAATGGGTAGCAAGAAACTTAGACCAGTTGCTCCTTATACTAAAAATGGATTTTTATAATAATGGTGTTATAAAACATGTGATTATTAATTATCCAAAGTACTTATTAATTATCTAGAAAGATCATTTTTAAAAACTTACATTTTCAACACAATGCTAATTGCTTTTCATCTTATTCATGTGTAGACAGGGTAAAAGCAGTTTCATTCTATTAATGAGCATTTTTTATTGTGTATGCTATTATTATGTGTTGATTAACATTGAATACCACTATTGCTATCATGTAATAGGCCGGAATATATTATAACTAAGTTCTGTGACACTGTCTACCTTTTATACAAAATATATGGTTATCAGTATCATATTGTAACTTCAAGTGAGGTTTTATATTTCACTGTAATTCCAACAAAATGAAACTACAATATGTTTTCTTGAAATATGTTATAGTGTTACATCTTTGTTAGGAAAGAATCATCCTCAAAAATAGAATATCATCATCAAAAGAAATTACTAATTCTTTATATCAATAACAGAAGTATGTTGTTTCTCAAATAAAAGTAACAGTCCATATTTTCTAAAATCTGAAGAATAGTGTTGAAAAATCTTGTTAGTATGTTTCTTTTTGTTTCTTTTCTTTCTTTTTTTGTGGAGTCACTGCATCCGGAGAAATACATGCAAAAGCATGTTCAGTGTGCTCTGCAATGATCTGATTCAAGGGCAGGGACTGAACCACAAATTTCATTTAATCAAGCTTCTTTTATCAATGAATACAAATGTTTACCACAGTCAGAATCCCATTAAATATCTCTCCACAGGGCAATTAAAGTCATTCTTGTAATCATTTGAGGCTAAAATAAAGAATTGACTTGTATGAACATTTTCTTGTGCATTATTTTAGGTGAAGTTAGGATTTGACGACTTTCATTAAGTGTAAATCAGTATAGTAAGAAGGACGATCGACTGTCAAGCAGCATCATTACAAATATTCTGTAAAGTAATCTGCAGATCTCTTTTCTAGCCATTGTCCAAAAGAGGCTAAAGAAGGAAAAGAAGGCGAAGAGAAAACTGCAGGAAGCACTGGAATTTGAGACCAAACGCCGGGAGCAAGCAGAGCAGACCCTGAAGCAGGCGGCTTCAGCAGATAGTCTCAGGGTCTTAAATGGTAAGAGCGGGCATGCTGTTTTTCACACAAGCAACTTTGATTTGTAATAGCAGAGGGACAATGTGGACATGTGCTTGTGGGTTTGTATGTGTCTAGGCTTCATGAATCATTCAGCAAATGCTTTATCTCCTAGGTGCTTCGACCATTTTGCCTTTTAATATCAGGATCTGGGACCTGGCGTTGCTATTCTGCCTAACAAAATCCATTTCTACAGAAAAAATGATAAAGGTTTAATTGAAGGACTCCTACTCCAACCTGTATCATGAGCAATATTACTTTAGTTATCTATTAACACCTTCTGAAATTTCTGATGGTTACAGTTTTGTCAAAGGCGACAAAGATTTATCTGGTTTTAATTCTACATCAAACTAACAGGTAGCTCTTCTTTTGAAATGACAACAGGAATCAAATGAAATATATGTCATTCTTACATCTCTGTGCTTTCAGACTCCCTGACCCCAGAGATAGAAGCTGACCGCAGTGGCGGAAGAACAGATGCAGAAAGGACAATACAAGGTAGGAATTTGCAGAAGGCTATAAATCTAGATCTTGCTATATGAGTTTTTCCTCAGCTTTAGGCTGCTATTCAAGCATGTAGCCTACCATCTGGGCCACATCAAAACAAGTTCAAACAAGGTCAAGTTCATCTTGCTTGTTTATATGAGTGAATTCATTTTGTGCTGATAGATTTTCTTTAAATTAACAGGTCATTTCTGTTTATATAATGCAATTAAAAAGAATAATTAATTTTAAACAATGTATGATTTAATCTCAGACACAGTAAATGTGTTTTATTGAACGTTTGGAGCACAATCTAATTCTGGCAGGGTTTATAATCTCCATTCTACATAAAGTCATATATTATACAAATAGTTTTTCAATTTAAACATGTCTACTCATTTTGGTGACTATTGCTGAAGGATACATACAAAATAGACTCTGAATGTTTAGGATAAGAAAGATTATTTAGGTCTTATGTAGATTTCCACATTATATATACAATTATTCTTTTTAGTAATGAAGATTTGCTGAATAAGATCATATACAGAATACTAAGAAGGTTGTATTAAATAGTCAGAAAAGCTGCATAGGTCTATTGTGGAGCCCTTGGTACTCAGCAAGAACAAAATCAGAAAGCAACATTTACTTTCAAACATCTACTCTATGCAACAAACTCACTATCAACATGAATACATAAATGGGGGAAAAGAACATCCTTTTCTATTCCAAGTCAAGATGATACTTCCAGGGGGAAACAAAAATGATTAATGGCCATAAACTTCCAAACTGCTTTTATTTTATATTTTAAGACAAATACTTTTTTAGGGCTTTTTGATACTAATTATTTTGCTTACTTGGTCAGCTCCAAAAGTGATAGCCTTGGTTTAGTGTAAAAGAAATATATGTGTTTGGTAACATATATGTGATTAAATAATAACCCAAAATTTGAAGAGATATTCCTGGGGATATAATACTGTGTTTTTAACAAATATTTATTTTTACAGTAGTCACAGAATTTATTCATGCTATAGAAAATAATTTATTTTTAATAATGTATAAGATTAAAAATAATGTAGAAGATTAATGACATTCATGTAATTTTAGGTGCAAAAACCTCTCATTTTTAAAAGGATGATAGATTTCAGTAGAGTTATGTCCAGTTTTTGAATCATATGAAAAGAATATACATATAGTTCAAAAAAGTTGCCTTTGCAAAAAGCCAATGCTCATTCTTAGGAAGGGAGAATTATCAGCTGTATTCTGTTCCCACAGGGACTAGGCAGACACTAATTCAGATCATGTTAAAATACTATAAGAAAGCTCAAGATAGACCTGATGTATGTACATGAGTGTGCACACACACACACACACACACACACACACACACACACACACACAAACACACACTGAATTTAAGCAAAATTGAAAAAGAACAGACATCTCTCTGTATATTCATTGTTACTATTGAGAAATGATTAAGCAATGGCTTAACTCTTTGGATGTTTTCAGTTAGCTGATGTCATCTATGCCTGTGATTCCTAGCACTTTGGAGAGTGAGGCAGGAGGATTGAATTTAGAGGCCAGCCTGGGATACATAATGAAATTCTTTCTTAAAAAACTTAAATCATACCTATTTTGCTCATTGTATGGAATATATCTGCCATGGTACACTGGAAAAAGAACTTGATAACTATTGTTATTTTTACTTTACTTTAAATTGTAAAGTTCACATACACTCATGTCTGTACTTTAATATAATTAAAGTTTTGCTGTATGAGGATAAATAGAGAAAATGCCAAAATTGTATTGCTGAGATTCACTTATTCTAAAAATTATTTTATTGTCTTCCTTTTGCTATCAAGAATTATACCAAATAAATAATATAGTAAACAAAACCAAATTGTTTCAAGATTTGAGATAGAAAATGTTTTCAAAGTAATTTAAAACAAAATTTAAATGATCATAATATTACTTTTTAAACAAAAACCATCCATTTATATTCCTTTCAATTGTTGTTTTCAAAATGCAGAGTTTTCATCCTGATAAATTTAGTACTATTCATAACTTTGCTTAATGATTTTTCCAAAATTAAAAAATGTGAAAAAATGCTGTATAGATATTAGTTTCTTCTTTCATTCTTTCCTTTCAAAATACTTCTTTTTCTTCTTCCTCTTTCCCTTTCTTCTTCTTTGTCTTCTTCCTTCTCCTTCTATTCTTGACCAAGCTGGCCTGGAACTTACAGAGATCGTCAGTTTCCTAAATGCCTGTATTAAAGGCATACAGCATCACACACATCCTTGTCCTTTTTAATGTACATATTAATGCAGAAGTTTTCCTATTTCTGATCTTTTAAATAATGCAACACAAGTGTTTTTGCCTCTATCTCCATTAAGCAACACTTTTTTCTTTTCATTTCTTTCTTTCCTTTGTCCTTTGAATATTTCTGTTTATTTTGATTTTAATCAAGACTAACAGCACATTTGGAATGAACAGAACAAAATTAACCATGAACTGGAGAAATCAAAAGAATGATAAGTGGTAGTAAATAAAATCTGTCTAAATGCTAAACAGGCTAAAGAGGGCATAAGAGTGAATCTGAACTCATTCCCTCCCTCTTTATGAACCAATCTCTGACACGTAGAGACTGGTTCACAGATCAAAAATGAAAAATACAACAAACTAACTATCACATAAAACTTCCTTGACTCACAGACTCACAGTCCCCAAGCCCAGCTGTGGTGATAGGCTCAGCTGCTTTCTTATTCCCAATCCAACCATAACAGAAATCACTCTGTATTCTGAAATAGACACATCTTAATTGGTAAACAAAAAACAGTCCACAACATTTATGCTCATCATGTATTTTTAACACTTTAGTATAAATAATGCCACACTTGGCTTTGGAGATAGTCACTTAGTAGTAGGGTACTTAAATACTGCTCATATACCAGATAATTACCATCATAGAAGCACCTCAGTTGACAGGAGCTCACAAGCCCTTTCTATCACCATTTCCATAAAAGCAAAAAGACAGGAAAGAAGAAAACATCATAGCTTAGGAAATATTCCCAAGGAATAAAACTCCATAATCATTTAACTTTTCTTTACTAGTGAGATAAATCAGTTTATCTCAGGGAAAAATTTTGCATTGTTGATATGGCAAATAACTAACTCAAAATTCATGAGTTTGGTTGAGAATCTAAATGCAGAATGAATAGCAACATCTTTAAAGACAACTTGTGTCAGAATTCTGAATTGTATTCAAATTAGTCTTTCCATGCTGTGCAATGAACAGGAATCTATATTGTAATTTCTGAGTTTGAAAATCTGGCTTTACTTTGCCCTTTTTATAAGGTCTTTTGAACATACAGACAGAATTCATTCAAACCTTCAGTAAGTAGTTTTTAGGGGTCAGTCAGCAAATATGCCTCCAACCTCATTGTACTTTCAAACACCTGTACCCTGTAAATGGACAAACCCATAACTAGACAGAATTGCTTATTTAAATCCTGTGCCTATGTTATTCTCTCTTCCTAACCAACATCTTTGATGATTTCATATTATTTACTTTGAAAGCTCATCGCATCTCCCCAGTTCATTTATGCATATTTTAGCTGTAGAAGATCATAATACATGATTTTTTTTGTTTTGTTTTGGTTTGTTTTTTGAGACGGGGTTTCTCTGTGGCTTTGGAGGCTGTTCTGGAACTAGCATTGGTAGACCAGGCTGGGCTCGAACTCCTAGAGATCCGCCTGCCTCTGCCTCCCGAGTGCTGGGATTAAAGGCATGAGCCACCACTACCCAGCACATTTGTTTGTTTGTTTGATTGACTGATTGATTGATTGGTTGGTTGGTTGGTTGATTTTGTTGCCTCCCAAGGATCTCAGAGTTCAGTGCACAAACCGGCCTCCCTGTTGTGCTTTCATCTGGTATAATCTGTGTTCCATAACACACAATGAGGAAGAATTGAGGCTGACATCCCTCTCCTGCATAACTTTCCTCTCTGCTCAATTGTGCCCCCTACCTTGCTATGCTGCTAACATAGGGGAATTGTGTTTTTGTTGTTTTTGTTTGTTTGTTTTTTTTTTTATTTTTTCCAACTTGTTTTTATTTGAATTAGAAACAGGATTGTTTTACATGACACTCCCAGTTCCGTTCTCCCACCCGTCCTCCCCTCACCGCACCGCCCCAAATAAAACCCTATCACATATCCTTTCTGCTCTCCCTGGATGGTGAGGCCTTCCTTAGGGTGTCATCAGTGTTTATTGTAGGATAAACACCCCCGTGTGTCTTGGCTCAGGGAGTTTTCCTCCACATGGAATGGGCTCCCAAACTCCACACCTATGCTAGGGATAAGTACTGAACTTCTACAGGAGGTCCAGTATCTTTCTGAGGTTTACTCACAGAAACCCATGTTCCTGGGGTCTGGATCAGTCCCATGCTGGTTTCCCAGCTATCAGTCTGGGGAGCAAGAGTTCCTGTGGGTTTCTCCAGCCTGGTCTTGACCCTTGTGTTCTTCACTCGTCCTTCTCTGCATCTGGGTTCCAGTTCAGTTCGGTGATTAGTTGTGGGTGTCTGCTTCTACTTCCACCAGCTGCTGGAGGCTATAAGATGGCATATCAGTCAGTCATCAATCTCGTACTCAGGGGAGGGCATTTAAGGTAGCCTCTCCTTCGTTGCTTAGATTGTTATCTGGTGTCATCTTTGTACATCTCCAGACATTTTCCTAGTGTCTGAGAGACATAGGGGAATTGTTGTTGCTCTTTTTCTGATAGCCCTATTGTTCCCCGCCCTCAACCACAAGGGACACATTACACCCTTTGTTACATATTTATCCATCCTCAGAGTCTCAATTTAAAAATCACCTTGTCGAAGAGTACTTCGATGTCTCTTCCTCTCTCTGCCCCTGGAATACCTATTGCCTGCTCAGAAACCGTTCCTCCTCTTAGATCAGGAACCCTTCTGTTCCTCCTTAGGGCCAAGCTGTGCATTGCCAGTTAGGACTGATAGTTTCCTTCAGCTATAGCTGAGGCAGAACCTTTCTCCTATGTGGTTTTGT